AAAAAAAAAAAAAAAAAGAAAAAAAAAAAAAAAAAAAAAAAAAAAAAAAATTAAAAAAAAAAAAAAAATAAAAGCAATAATTATAATAAATCTATTTAAAATTAATATATATAAAAACAAAAAATAAGAAAAAAAAAAATTAACTTCTTTTTTTTTTTCTTCTATAAAAAAAAAAAGATACGTTTTAGAATTAACATATAAAGTAAAATAAAAATTCTAAAAATTTGTATAAAAATATTATTATTTTAATAAAAGAAACAAACAAAAATATACATAAAAAAAATATTAAAAATATATTTAATAAAACTTAAATTTATAGTGGATAATGAAATATAAACATTGTTGTTTTTTTTTTTTTAAGATATAAAATTTTATATATTACTTAAAAATAAAATTTTACTTTAATTTTTGATTAATTTATTTATCAAATACAGATACAAAACCATATTTTATTTTCAATTTTTCCTCTACTTTATCCTATAAAAATTATAAGATTGTAGATGAGATAAAGAAATAACAATTTTAAGATGTATACATATATAAGATATAAATTATTTAATATTTATTACTTGATTTTTAATAGAATTATCTAAATCATCATTTTTATATTGTTCATCCATTGTATCTTTAATGCAATTACATAATTCACTTATACTCATATTAATATTGTTATTAATTAAAATATTATGAAATATTTTTATAATATTTTCTTCATAAATTTTTATTTGTTTATCAACCTACATTATAAAATAAGAATAATGATATTATCTCATTTAATAAAAATATATTTTTTTTTTCTTTTTTCTAAATTACCTTTGAGTATATATTATTTATAAGAACATTTTGTTCCTCTTTTTGAAGAACTAATCTATTTTTAAGTTCTTTATTTAAATTATGTTCTTCTTTTATTTTATTTTCACAAGCATGAAATACTCTTTTTTCTGTATGACATTTTTCTTCTTCCGTCTTTTTTTTTAATTCATTACTAAAAACACACAAACAAAAATATTGTAAAAACATTTATAAGAATAGAAATAAAACATATATATATATATATAGACTTAATTTTTTTTTTTATTTTTATATTTATTTTCTTTATTATTTTTATATTATAACATCTTTCTTTTATTATAACATAGAAATATATTGTCTATTTAAATTTATAATTTATATATTTTTTTATATGTTTTTTTAAAATTTATATATACAAAACTATGTAATAGTTACATTTTTTTTTCTAAAGCTTCTTTTTCCTTTTTAACATTATTTATTAATGTCAACATATATGATTTATACTCTTCTAATGAAATCTAAAGAAAATAATATACATAATTTGTATTAATGTATATTTTTCTAGTGTTAAAATTTTTTTTTTTTTTTTTTTTAACCTTTGCTTTATTTTTTACATCTTCTTCAAATTTCTTACAAGCATTTATACATACTTCAGTAATTTTTTTTTGCTCTTCTTTTTTTTCTTTTTCCTTCTTTTTAGTAATTTCTAGTAATTCTAATGCTATTTTTCTATATTTTCTATAAAGGGAATATTGATAATAAGATTAAAATTTATATTTCTATATTTATGTAATTCATATTATTTTTTAAACATTTTTTTTTTTATTTTTTATTTTCCTTTTTATATTTACTGTATTAAAAAATCAACATCCTCAAGTATATTATTTTTTATTTCACTAATTTCATCGATATGCTGCTTTTTAATATTTCTTAAAATATTTTCATACTTTTCAATGATATATTTTTTATTTCGTTGTTCTTCTAAAGTTCTGTTTTTATATATTTCTATAGTTTTTATTAACTATAATGAGATTAAAAGTGTGAGGTAAAATATATCCACATATTTTTTATTTTTCTTTATATTATTTTTATATAATTTAAATTTTTTTTTATTACCTCTGGTATATATTTAGTCATTGAAATTTCCCTAAAGAAATTAAACATAAAAGAATATATACTTTTTATTATTTTCTTATATTTACACAATTTTAGTTATATTTTAATACCTTTCAGTGTTATTATGCACTAATTTATCATTAGGAAAAACTCTCTCGGTTATATCATGATTTTTTTTCGAAATAATTAGGTCTTTTCTATTTTTTGTTGTTATATCTTTTTCTTTGGGTTCATCTATGTTATTAATTATACAATGTTTTTTTTTTTTCTCTTTTTTTTTTTCTTTCTCTAATTTAAATTTTAAGCTATATAAATGCTCAGTTAATTTTTTTAACTTAAAAAAAAAAAAAAAAGGAAAAGAAATAAAACTAATCAATTAAAACTTATATATTTAAAATTTTTAATATAAGTATTCTTTATTTTTTATAAGAGGTAATGAAAAATTACTTGAATTTCTAACGCATTTTTGTCTACTTTATTATCTTTCATGTTATTTATTTTGTTTTGTTTATACGAGTTTTCATTTTCCTTTAATGAATAATTTATATAATTCTCTATGTGATTTTTCTTTAACAAAATATCACTTAATTTGCTTTTAGATTCACTTACTTTTCTATTATTATTAGTTTCTTTTTTTTTTTTAATTTCCATGTTTTTTTCTTATTTTAAAAAAAGACACAAAAAGTTGTAAAAAAATTTACATTTCTTTTTAATATATTTTAAAAAAAAAGAAAAAGGATTTATATGACAAAATTAATAAAAAATAAATGTATGAAAATTTGTTTTTTATTTTTATATTTAATTTAAATGTGTTAACAAATAAAAAAATTAAAAATTAACGAAAATTGTTTTAAGAAAAAAGCGCATATATATGATTATTTCTGTGTAATAATTGTTTGTATTTTATTATGAAATAATTTATATGCATTTATTTTTGTATGTGTGCATATTTTATTTTTGTTATTTACATTTTTTTTTTTTTGTTCTTAATGGCAAAAATCTAATAACATGCTTCTTATTTTTTTTTTTTTTTTTTTGTTTCCTTTTCTTTTCTCCTTTAATTTTTTTTATTATTATTATTAATATTAATTCATATTTTTATTTTATTTTTTAATGTTATTTTTTATTAGCAAACATTAAAATAATAGAAAAAAAATGTATATATATAAAATGAATATGGCATTCATTGGTTATTGTAAAATTGTGTAATATAGAATTTATACTTGATACATAAATTTAAAGGAAAATTTTTATTATTATATTTTTTTTTTTTTTTTTTTTGTATGAATTTTATATTTAATAAAAAATAGTTTTACAAAAAATTTAATAAGAAATGATATAATAAAAAAAAAAATAAAATAAAATGAAACACAATTAAAAGTTCTTTAATTAAATAGATTTTTTTAATAAAAAATATACTTTTTTTAATTAGTATTATTAAATAATTTTTAAAATTGACTTATATTTCCTTAATTTTTTTATTTTATTTAATTACATTATAATTTCTATTGATTTATTTATTTTTCATTTTTAAAATGCATAAAGTATTGCATAACATAGTATTAATAATATTAAATATATATATAATAAACTGTTTTAAGAATAATGCTAGTAATAAATTAAATATAAACTTTTTAGTTAATGGAAAAAATGATTATAATAAAATATATAATAGAAAAAAAGAAAATGTAAATATTATAAGACTAAATAATGCAAAAAATAATGAAAACGAAATTAATGAACAAGAGAAAAAAGTAGAAAATAATAAAGATGATATTTGTTTTATTGCTGGTATAGGAGATACAAACGGATACGGTTGGGGAATAGCAAAAGAATTAAGTAAAAAAAATGTGAAATTAATTTTTGGAATTTGGCCTCCAGTTTACAACATATTTATGAAAAACTACCAAAGCGGAAAGTTTGATAAAGATATGATAATTGATAATGATAAAAAAATGGAAATTTTAGACATATTACCCTTTGATGCATCTTTTGATACATATGAGGATATAGACGAAGAAACAAAAAATAACAAAAGATACAGTAATTTAAAAAATTATAGCATAGAAGAAGTATCTAATTTAATTCATAATAAATACGGAAATATTAGTATGCTAGTACATTCATTAGCCAATGCTAGAGAGGTACAAAAAACTTTATTGGATACATCTAGAAAGGGATATTTAGATGCTTTAAGTAAAAGTTCTTACTCATTAATATCTTTATGTAAATATTTTTGTAAAATTATGAAACCAGGGTCAAGTGTTATTTCCTTAACATATCATGCCAGCCAAAAAGTGGTACCTGGATACGGAGGAGGAATGTCCAGTGCTAAAGCTGCACTAGAATCAGATACAAGATTTTTAGCTTATTATTTAGGAAGAAATTATAAAATTAGAGTTAATACTATTAGTGCAGGACCACTTAAATCAAGAGCAGCTAGCGCTATTAATAAAATGAATCCAAAAAATATGAACAGTTCAGGTGAAAATAATAAAGAAAATTACTCATTTATAGATTATGCAATTGATTATTCAGAAAAGTATGCACCTCTTCAACAAAAGTTATATTCTACTGATGTTGGTTCAGTTGCATCATTCCTTTTATCAAAAGAAAGTAGAGCAATAACAGGACAAACCATATATGTTGATAATGGCCTCAATATTATGTTTGGCCCTGATGATTTATTTCAAAATGAAAACAATTAAAGTTTCTTAAATTAATAAAAAAAATATATGTGTGCAAAATATAAATTCATATTTTTTAAATTAACGTAAATGTAATATTTTATATACAAAAACAATATTTATATTTTTACATTATTAAAAGTTTTATTAATTTTAAAAAATTTTAAATATGTTCCCTTTTTATTTTTTTTTTAAGGTTTTTTATCAATATAAATATATATCATTTTTTATAAAAAAGTTGTATACAATTTTAAATTTATAATGAACAATAAAAAATCATAAAAAAAAATATATATAATTCTACAAGCTATTGTAAGAAAAATACATATTCTACATATATATATAAACAAAAAATTAATTTTAAGACATATTTTTTATATTTTTCTTTAATTCTTTTTTCTGGTTTAAATAATTGGAATCTTCTTCCGTTTTAAAAAAAGGATAAATATTCTTAAAAATATTATCGGTGTTTATTATAATTTCTTCGTCATTTTCACTTTCTTCTATATTTGTAATTTCAATTTCTTCCTTCTTTTTAATTAAGTTATTAAACCACATTTTTTCGTTTATTTCGAGTGTATCATAATTTAAATTATTTGACTCTTTTGTGCTATCTTTATATAATTCATTATTATAAGTGACATTATCTTTTTCTTTTAAATTATTATTTATTATATGCTCATTTTCGTCTTCTTTATTTATTTTATTGAATTCATTAATGTTAGAATCTATTTCAGGAATGTATCTAGGGATTGTAAAAAGAGAATCATCCATTTTTCTTTTGTGTTATAACTTTAAATTTTATTTTTTTTCACAAATTAAAAAAACCATATTTCTATCAAGATTATTTGAAAAAATCTATGTTTAATGAGTATAATTAAAAAAAAAAAAAAAAAAAAAAAAATAATAATTCTACTGAAATGATATTAAATGCGTATAATACAAAGAAAAAATAAGTATTAGATATAAATAAGTTTTATTCTAAAAAACAAATTATTTTAATATCAAGAAAATTAATTTATAAATTTATTTGATAAAAATGAAAATTTATTTTTTTTTTTTATAAAACTCATGAAAAGCATTTTTTTAAATTAAAAAAGAAAAATTTCATTAAATGTATACTTATATTTAATTAGAAAATAGAAAATATTTATTATTTAAATAAAAATAAATATAAAAAATAAAATTTTCTAAGTTGTTAATTATAACATATATACTCATATAAAAAAAAAAAAAGTAAAATATAAAAAATAAAAAAAACCATCTATATAACTATTATATATCTTAATACAAACATTCATTTTTTTATAAAAAAAATTAACTTTTAGATATAGTTGATATATACAATATGGATATAAAAATATTGACAAATTAAATAAAATATTATGGATTATATATAAATAATTTAATTTAATAAAATGTAACATACATTACATACATAATATATCTTAATTTAAAAAAAAAAAAAAAAAAAGTAAAGCTCTAAATTAATATTCATTGAAAAATATATATTAATATGTTTTTTAAATAAAGAAAATAAAAATCAAGTACTATTTGTTATGCACGAAAAAAAATAATTCAAATTTTGTTGAAACTGATCATATAAGTATATTAAACTCTTTGATTTTTTATAAGGAAGTACTTTTTTGTTTTTATTTTTTTTAATTTTTTTCGATATTAAATTATGGTTAATTTTTTTTTCTTTATTTTTTTCTTTATTCCTCTCATAAATATAAAGAGCTATTTTATTGTCTTCTTTATGAATATTATCTTCAGAATTGCATTTTTGAAAAGGTGACACTTTTTTTTTTAAAATAGCATCATTATAATTCATATAGTTCCTTCTTTTTTCTTCTTTTTGATTTGTATTCATATTATTTTTATTAATTTCTATTAATTTATATAAATTAAAAAATTTATTTTTCCATAAAAATATTTTTTCTTTTCTTTTTTTTTTTAATTCTCTGTATTTTTCTTCAGAATATTTTATATTATTATGAAATTTATAAAGTTTCTTCTGTAACCGTTTGTGAGAATACTTTTTTATCTCTAGCATTCTTTTATTTTTATCTTTTTTTCTTTTTTCTTTCTCTTTTTCATTTAATTTTTTTTTTTTTTTCTTTAAATGAATTGATTTATTTTTATTCATGGCTATCTGATGTAAAATTAACGGAATAGATCCAATTAATGGCCCTAAAATTAGACCTTTAGATCCAAATGTGCTAATAGACAAGAACAAGGAAAGAGAAACCAACCAAGCATGTGTGTGGGGGATTTCTTTATAAATAGTTGTTGTAAAATACCAGTAGATAAAAAAATTGATTACAAATAATATTAATGATATAACTTTTTGTTTTTTTATAATCCATAAATGTAAAATAATAAATAAGATAATAATTTCTGGTGATATAACCGGAATTAATGATAAAATTATGCAAAATAAAGTAGGAACATAAATTATAGGAAATTGAAAAAATGAAAATATTAACCATATATACATTGTATAAAAATATATTCTTTTTAATGTGCATATAATTATAGCTTTTAAATTTTTGGTTATATTATGAAAGAAAATACTCGATGGATCCACTACTAATAAAATATCTTTTAAATAGTTCAGAACTGATTTTTTTGATGATATTAAATAATATAATGCTGTAAAAAATATGAATGCTTGTACTATTGCATCAAATGTAAACATAAAAAAATTAAAGAATACCAATATAAAAAAAATCATTATTTTTAATAATCCATAACTATTATTGAATATAATAAGTTTTGCTAATTTACCAATATCCTCTATTTTTTTCAATGATAAAAATATATTATAAATATAATTTATAAATTCTTTAAATTTGAAGTTTTTCTCTTTCACGGGATCATATATATTAACCATTAATTTATTATTTGTGTTATTATTTGAATTATTTAATCTTTTTGTATCATTATAATATATTCCTTCTTTTGTTGTTTTTTCTTCTTTCTTTTTATTTTCATTCTTTTTCTTACCATATACGTTATTTTCTCTTAGATCATATTCATCTTCGTATAAACTTGGCTTTTCTTTTTGTGTGTTAACATTTTCTTCTGTATTGTCAAAAACAGTTTTAAATATTTTTTTATTAATATTATTTTTTTCATAGTTTTCTGTGATAATTTTTGATTTATTATTCGTAACAGGTTTATTTTTAGGTAAAATATAAAATAAATTTTTTATATTAAAAAAGTCATGTTTATTATTTTCATCATTATTTAAACATACATCACTATCACAATCATTGTACTTTTGAAAAATGAGTTTTTTTCTTTCATTTAAAAATTTTATATATCTTTTTATATTGCTTAAATTATTTTTCTTCAGAATATTAAATCTTTCAATAAGTAATGGCATACAACAAATGTTTATAGAAACCTTTTTATTTTTCGTAAAATTGTATAAATAAATATTTTCATATATATCAAAAGCTCTTTTTAAATGATTATAAATTGATGAAATAGTATTATTACTTAAAAAGGGTATTTTTGTTAAATTAACTAATTCATATAAATTTTCTATGTCATCTTTTCCTCTCTTTCTGTAAAACTTTTTAAAATTTTTAATAATGGATGCCTATATATAAAAAAAAAAAAAAAAAAATTTATAAGAAATAAAATTAAATAAATATACAAAAACATTTTTAGAATTTAAAATATTATATATATAAATAAACATAAAAATAAATATAAATTAAAATTTTCATAAAATGCTCTTTTTCATTTATTATCTATATCTAACATTCCTAAAATTAGCTGAGAGATAATTATTAATTGCATTAATTATAAATACGGATTCTCCATATATATTAAAAATAAAGAAAACTGAAATAGAAGAAAAAATAATAATTGCAAAAATTATGATAAGAATTGTTAATATATCATTCATATAACGTTTATAAATAAAAGAAAAATCAAAGGAGAAATAAAAGGAATATTTTTCATAATATTTTCTATATATTTTATAAAAATAAAGAAACCATATTATTTTTATAATTTTATAGAAAACAAAAACAAAAAAAATACAAATTGATATAGATAACAAAAACTCTTTATATTTATAAATAATGCTTTTTAGAATATAAAAAAATATAATTCTATGCAAAATTAAAAAATAAATTTCGCTTGCATTTCCACTTTCATAATTATTAAAACTGTTATTATTAGTGTCTTTTTTTTCTTCTTTATATATTGGCTTAATTATTAAAAAAAATATATATGTGTATATATTTAACTCTTTTCTAACGTTTTCTACTATTTTATAAAAACTTTTTTTACATAGGCAACTTCCCTTATTTTTTAATAACAAGTCTTTTTCTTGTATATTCTCCTTACAGTTTAAGGGAAAAAATTCTTCATTATTTTCATCATTTAAATTATATGTATCTTTTTTAAAATTTTTAAATAAAATTTTGTTTTCTTTATCTAAATTTTGTTCGTTAAAAAGCTTTAATAGTTTATCTTCATTTTCATCACACTTATTGTTTACTTTTTCGTTCGCATTTTTGTTTGATTCATCATTTGACTTATTCTTTCCATTTATAGATTTTATATATTTTTTTTTTTTTATAATTTTTTTTTTTAAAAATTCTGACAATTTCACTTTAACATGATGTAACGGAATGGAAATTATAAATGCCCAAAATAAGGAATAAAAGTAATATTTTAAAATTATATAGTTATAATAAACACATAATATCAGTAGTATACCTGCATCAAAATAATATACATATTTTAAATAATTTTTATAAGCATTGTAAAGTTCATTACAGTTCTTTTTTTAATATGGAAGATTTTTGTTACATTTTTTTTTTTTTACACATTAACATGATTAATCTCATTATTTTTATTTTTAATTTTAATACACATATATTTATTTTTATATTTTTATTTAACCTATTAAATACACAATGAAATGAACAATGGCTTTTTCTGTTTCATCTTTGAACAAATTTGCTTTTTTCATTTTCTTCATTAAGTCATCTTTAAAAAAAAAAAAAAAAAAGAATATAAAAAGGCTACTATTTTGTTATATTAAATTATTCGCTATAATCTTAAAATTTATCATATTTTTTTAAATTTATCTTTTTTTAAAAAAAATGATATATATTTTGATGATAATATATTTATAAGATTAAAAAAAAAAAAAAAATTTAAATAAATAAAATAATTATTTTAAAAAATATTATAGATTAAAAAAACTATAAATAAAAATTAAGAAATAAAAAAGTAAAAAAATTAAAATAAGCAAGTTACAAAATTAACATAAAATTTATGCAAAATTTTATAATGAAAAATTAATGAAATAATTTCAAATACTGTCTTCTTGAATAATAAAGAAAAAAAAAAAGTTATAAGAAGACACTGTTTTTGGTATACATTAAGTTTGTTTAAAATATGTGTTACAACAAAATAAAAAAAAAGAAAATTGTTATTTTCCTTATATGTTTAATTTATTAAAAGTATCTAACAAAATTCAGGTAAACAATTTTAAGCTATGCAATAAATAAAAAATAGAAAAAGAAAAAGAAATTTTAATAAATATTATAAAATTGATTCAGATTATTTTAAAATATATTTACTGTTAAATATAATCTAGTAAAAAAAATACAGATATATATGGACCTGTACTAAATTGAAAAATATAGTAAGTTTCAAATATAAATAAATTTTTTTTTTTTTTTTTTACAAATCTCAATATCATTGTTTTTGTTCATATAAGATTTAGAATTCATGAAAATATATAAAAAATATAATCATTATCACCACATTATTTTTAAATATGAAATTTCAACATTAAAAAAAAAAAATACTGAAAATAATGAATATTTCTTTTCTAAATAGTTAATTTCTAAAAATGAAGTTTATATACTTTTAATATATATTATGAAGTAATGAATCTATTAAAGTAATCACTTCTCAAAATGTAATTTCAATAATTGTTTTGTATTTTTTCTCTTTTATTTAATTTTTTTATTTATTTTTTTGTAATTAGAAGAATTGCTTTATTTTTAATGAAACTTTTATGTTTTTTTAAAAGATTATTTTTAGTAAATTTATATTTTATAAAGATGGAAAAACCATCAAAATACTTTAGTAAAAATAAAATAAAAAAGATACGAGTGAAATATGAAGAGATTCCAAATAATACAATTAGTAATGTTAAAAAATTGCAGTTAGAAAAAAATATGGAGAATTATCAAGTTAAAGATGAAATTATGAAATCAAACATTAAAGGAGATAATTCTTTAATGAATATGATGAAATTAAATAAAAATAATGAAATAATTCAAGATAATCACGTAAAAAATTCTGAACAAGTGCAATCAAAAAAACCATTGAGTAAAATTAGAGTGAAAAAGGAATATGGAGTAAAACGGAAAATGTCTAAAAGTGAAATTAACAATGAAAATAATAAAAATATACTATTAAAAAATATTGAAAAAGATGAAAATATGAATAACTATGATATAAATTTAAAAAAAGAGCATTTTTTATTTACATACAATAAAATAAAAGAAATGAGAAAGAATATTATTGCACCTGTAGATAAATATGGATGTAATAAGTTAAGCGAAAAAACAGATGATTTAAAAGTTTATCGTTTTCAAACGTTAATTTCTTGTTTATTATCATCAAGAACAAAAGATGAAGTAACTGCAATGGTAATGGATAAATTAAAAAAACATGGACTAACGGTAGAAAATATTTTAAATACATCAGAAGAATATTTAAAAAAATTAATCTATGGGATAGGTTTTTATAACGTAAAAGCGAAACAAATTATTCAAATATGTCATATTTTAAAAAATAAATATAATTCTGATATTCCTAATAATTATGAAGAATTAAAAAAATTGCCAGGTGTAGGAGAAAAAATTGCACAACTCATTTTGCAAGCAGCCTTAGATAAACATGAAGGAATAGCTGTTGATATACATGTTCATAGAATAGCCAATAGATTAAATTGGGTTAATACGAAAAATGAATTAAATACACAAAAAAATTTAAAAAATTATGTCCAAAAAGATTTATGGTCAGAAATAAATACCTTATTAGTTGGTTTTGGTCAGGTAATTTGTAAAGGTAAAAAGCCAATTTGTGAAAAATGCACACTTACTAATTATTGTCAGTATTATAAAGAGAACTTAATTAAAAAGAAAAAATAAACTTAAAAATAAAAAAAAAAAAAAAAAATATAAATTATATAAATAATATAATATTTATGTATAGTTCATAAAACAAGTATATTCAATTTTTGAAAGTTATCAATTTTTTATTTTATTTAATTTTTTTAATATATAGAAGTATTTTTAATAAATGCAATAATTTTTAATTTGTACTATGCTTTTAATTTCTACATTTATTTTAAATAAAATAATTTTAATAGTTTATACAACTGATACATATATATTTTTTAATTATATTTATAGTGTTTTAGTTTTTAAGAATTAAAAGAAAAAGAAAAAATAAACGAAATATTCTTTTTATCTTTGTAAGTCAACTTTAAACATTTCTTATTATTGTTAAATATAAAATCAAACACAAAAAAAATTAGAATTTGTTTAAATAAGCATATTTATTTATAAAATTACAAACTTAATAAAACTTGTATGATATTCTTCAATAAAAACAAAAAAAAAAATAAAATAAAATAAAATAAAATGAAATAAAATAAACATTATTTTAAGAAAATTAAGTAATTCAAATCATAAATATTTTAATATAAGTTATAAATTAAAAATACATATTAGGGCATTTAGCATATTTTATAATATTATATATAGAAGTGTAAAAAGTTTAAATAAAAAAAAAAATTATATATATATATATATATATATAAACATATGCAATATTTAAAAATGTAAAAATTTAATCATTTTATAAATTTATTGTTTAGCAAGGGACAATGCTCGCCAACCTGGAAGTATCCATATTTTTAAATTACTACAGAAAAAAAAAAAAAAAAAAAAAAAAAGGTTAAATAAAATAAACAATAAATAAATATTTGTGTTTTTTACTTACTGAAATTTCTTTATTTGTTCATACATTTCAAAAGATATAAAAAGATCATTACTCCATAAGCAATATAAAGAATTTAAATGATTTTTTTGTAAAATATGTATTAACTCATCACCTTCTTCCTTATTAATATCATATATATATTCTTTTCTTTCACTTAATATTTTTCTAAATTTTTCATTATTTAAATAATCTATAGGTTTATATTCATGTCTAAAATAAAGACCTAGCTGTATTAATCTGATATTATTTTGTTTCATTTTTTCAATGAAACATGTAAATATAATAATATTTTGCGATCTATTTAATTTATTAGAATATAACAATTTACTAATAATAATATCTTTTAAATTGTTTAATTTTCCAACAAAACATAGTAGTTCTTCTCCCTTTAATTCAACATCTATTATTAGTCTTTCTAAATTGTCAAAATTATTATGTAGTTTCATATTTTTAGTTTTCCATTTTTTTTTTCCTTCTATAATCCTTATATACTTTTGTAACAATTCATTCAATTTTCTATTGTCTTTTATTTCATTTTTATTTTCCATATATTTATAATAATAATTTTCTAAAAAAAAATCATTAAACTCTAAATTAGAATCTATAAAATCACAAGAAAGCACGTTATGATTATCATTATTTGTTCTATGTTCCATTTTCAAAGAAAAATTGCTTTTATCATTATTTTTTTGTGATTTTGTTTTAGTTTCTATTTCATTTTTGCTATCTAAAAAAGAAACCTGATTTGTTATTTCTTTGTATTTAGGAGACAGATAATTTTTTTTATATTCATTTTCATTTAGATTTAGTTTGCAATTTTTAATTTTATTAGTTTCTCCATCTTTCATACCATAATGAGTATTATTATCGACATTTTTTTTATCTTTTTTTTCATATTCTTTCTTTTCATCTTTTATATTTTTAACCATATTATTATTATTTCCATTTAAACAATTGTACAAACATTTTTTATCTTTTCTTATTTCCTTCTTATTTTCTTTTATAGATTTGCAATTTAGTATATTAGATACTATTGGGTGAACACCCTCATATATAAAGTTGGTATTTTTTTTTCTAAAATATATACGTAAGTCTTTTAAATATTTAAAATGTTTTATAATTAAATTAATTGTAGTTCCTACACTTTCATTCCCATTAACCGATAATGATAAAGAAAATGTATTATAAAATAATTTATTATATTTTTTTAAAAAATCATAATTAAATAAATCTACATTAATAAATCGAAAATCTAAATTTGCCCATGCATATTTTGTATTAAACGCTGTATAAAATGATTTGTTTAATAACTTAAATTTCCACCTTTCGGAGAAAGTTAAAAAAGATAATATATTACATATAATATCACTATTTTTAAAAATATTATAATTATTCGATAGGGTGTTAAAAGTTGTTAAATAGTTTACTTTTTTCTTGTTATTTTCACAAAAACAAGTGTTATTTTTAACGTATGGTATATTATTACTATTTAATATATGCACTTGGTTGTCTGATATGCATTCATCTTCTAATCTGTGCTTTTTACTTTTTGTTTTTTTATTTATGTTGTCTTTGTTTATCATTTTAACAAATTTAAAATTATGTATACACATATACAAAATAATTTAAAACATGAAATAAATTCGGAAAAAAAAAGTAAGCCAAAACAAAAAAAAAAAAAAAAATAAAGTCCTATTTTTTATTTTACTATTTTTTTTTCTCTAAATTATTCATTAATTTCAAACAGACATGTAAATTAAAATATGTTAACTCAGTTGTTTAGTCAAATGTTTAAGAAAAAAGAATAATTGTATTTTTTTAAAAAGATTGAACTATTATAACTCTTTCATTAAAAATATAAAATACAATAACTTAAAAAAGATAATGAAAATTCAAAATTTATATTAAAAAAAGTATACAGAATGCCCTTTATACTTTAGAAAAGTTATAAAAAATTATCCTTTGCTTGCAGTTAATAAATACACAAACATCAGTTAATAAAAACTTTATTAAATTATCAAAAAAAAAAAAATCATTATATACAAATATTTGGATAATTATATAAATTCAACTTTTTTTAATTTTAAGAAAAAAATAAAAAATTATTTTTAAATGTTTATAAACTATCTTTTTTAATACTTCAAAATTAGCGTTTGCACCTATTGTCCTGTGTGTGAAGATTTACAGAATGCAAAATTTAAAAAAATATAATTTAAAAAATTAAAAAAGATAACATAAATTTTTATAAAAAACAAATATAGATGAACATATATAAATATGCATATAGTATCCTTTAACTTCCCCTACCTAAATTCAAAATAAAAAATTAAAATAAACCCTCAAATAACATTTTTATTATAAATTTGATAATCTTATTTAGAGACAAAAAAAAAAAAAAAAAAAAAAAAAAAAAAAAAATACAAATTTTAAGATTCCATATATTAAAAAACAACTATAAATGTCATAAAAAGAAAAAAAAATATTTTATTATTTTTTATAATTCAAAAGTATAATGAAACTTAATAATAAAAAAACAGTAATTTAATGTATGAAATGAAAAGATTTAGTGAAACACAAATAGACACATTTAACTCTGCTAAAATAAAAAAGAATTTACTCGATGTTACACACGATTGTCAAAAAAGTTACATTTTTTGCAAAACCAATAATTTTAATAATTTATTAGGTTTGCAAATTGAAAAGAATTTGTTTTATTTTAATTTCCTTTTAAGTATAAAATATAATGAAGAAAAAAAAAAGAAAAAAGAAAATTTAAAATATAATGAAACAATAGATAATATGATATTAAACAAATACTACCTCTCTCAAGATGAAAAAGTTTACCTTGAAAAGAAAGAGGGAGAAAATAATGAAAATTTGGATAACTTTTTTGAAAAAAATATTAATGTTTTAATAAAATACAACTTTTTTTTTTATATAAAAATTTATATCCATAATATTTTAAGTAATGTGGATATATGTGCATATGATAAGCCAAATGAAACATTTTTTGAATTTTTTTATATTTTTAAAAATAAAAAAAAAAAAGTATCTTTTGAAAATTGTGATGACTTATTAAGTGACTTATATTGTGACGTATCACATGTTTCTGATGATAGTGATTATAATTACTTTTATGAAAAAGCAAATCAACTAAACGAGTTTGAAGAAGAAGAATATGAAGAAGGTAAAGAAAATGAAAAAGAAATTGAAAAAGAAAACGAAAAGGTAAATGAAAAAAAAAATGAATTAGAAAATGAAAATAAAAATGGAAAAGTAGAATCATATAATGAAATTCATGAAAACAATATCATAAAAAAAAATATAAAAAAAAAAATAGACACTCTTACAAATTTAAATATAAAATTAAATTTAACAGAATTTGAAAAAAGAAATTCAAATTTTTCTACTGATGATGATAAAAAAAAAAAAAAAAAAAAAGATAAAAAATTTGAAAAATATTTATGCCGTTGTTGTAAAAAAAAAATGAAAAATATGAATTGCACTTTTTCTTTAAATAATTCTAATGTTTGTTTGTTACAAATTTTCATTTCTAATTTAACAAAAAAAGAGCTATTATTTTGGGCACAGATAAAAGAATGCATAGAAAACTTTATAGGAAATATAAAATCAATAATTTTTCATAAAGGAATGTCAAATTATATAGAAATACCCTACATTGAAATTATTGATGAATTAAATAAAATGAATGAAGATTACTTAAGATTTGTAAGAAAAAAAAAGAAAATAATAACTTTAAAAAAAGAGCAAAAAAGTATTAAATGCTTATTTGAAAGGACACTAAATTCTGTAAGAATTTCAGTCAAATATAAACTAATATCAACTAATAATAAATTTAATTATTTATTTAAAGATGTAATGCAAAAATATAAAAAGTTTATGAGAAAAAATATTTTTAACAATAATGTTATAGAAAACAATATTTTAAATAATGAATTCACCAATTCCATCCACAACTATTTGAATCCTATTGTTTTTAAAAATAATTCCGAAAAAAATTACGATTTTTCAATTTTAGTTCATAAAGGTCATTTAGAACTGTATGGATATGTATATTTAAGGAATTACATATTCTTTTTATTAATAATGATTGAAGTATATATATTTATTAATTTTAATGATATTAACTATACTTACTCTAATAATACAGATATATTCTTAGATCAAATTTTAAAAAACTTATTTACGTAGTATATATATAAGCGTATTTTTAAATATCATTTTCTTAACTTTTTTAGGATTAAAAAATTTAGAAAATTATAAAATTCTTTTTTTTTTTTTTTAGTTATATATATTCATATATTTGTTTTATAATTTTGTAATACTACGATGCAAAATTAAGATTATTATTTTTTTTACATAATTGATTTTAATCATAGATAATTTCACATTATTTATTTTATAAATAAAAGGATCCTCTTTAATATAATTATGATACAAGATACTTAATTTGAATTTCTTCTTTCTTTTTAGTTGGACTCACATAATTTATCATTTAAATTTATTTTCAATTTTAATATAATATTCTCAATTTATATTATTAATTTTACATTTAATAATGTTTTACATTATTTTTTTTTTTTTTCATGTATTAACATTTCAATAATTTTTTATTATACTTTTCGTATAATCAACCACACATTTTTATCATATAAGAATACCATTAAAAATTAAAATTTATTCCTGTTTTTAATAGATAAGAATTTTATTCATAACTTAATTTTTGCAATAAAAGAAAATCTATAAATAAAACATTAATTCTTTAAAACAAAAATTTAAACCAAATAATTTATATATCCCTTTTTTTTTTATAAAATGTAGAAGAAATAAAACTATTATATTGAATAAAAAAAAAAATGAAAAATATTAAGATTTAATTTACAGTTAGTATATGTATGTTTATATTGTTATATACATAATAAAAAAAAATTAAAGTTACAAAATAATAAATAAAAAAATAACAATAGTTCATTTTTATAACTTGAATTATAAAAAAAAAAGAGCACATATATATATATATATATAAATATATAAAAACTTCTTAAGTGTAGATTAAAAATTTATAAATTATTAAAGTAAAAAAAATGTATGTAAAAATAAAAATAATATTGTGTAAAATGAAGTGAGGCAAGGGGTTTTAGCATGAAGAAAACAAAAATGTATGTAATAAAATTTCACTATATGAATAGCTTTAAAAAAGGGAAAAAATTCTATTTTTCATTATTTTTTAAGTATTTTTCTCACAAAAACAATAGTATATATTCATAAAAAATTTGTAAAGAATTTTTTCTTTATACCAACTTTATGAGAATTAAAATAAATGATGTATATAATACTATTCTATATATACATTAATATTGTTTTTATAAAATTTTGATGTATTTCTCATTTAATTTTATTTATTTTTAATTATGTTGAATAATATTTTTGTATTAAAAGATCCTTTATTTCTTTTTCTATAAAATATACATGTATAATTTTTTTATTTTATTTATATATCAAAATAAATTTTTATTTTTCATATATATATATACAATTTGCTTCTACTTATATATACATATATAGGTATATTTTTATATAATAATTTTATATTTATATATATATATACATATATATATGAATTTTTTTTTTTTTATTTTTTTATTTTTTTTTTTTTTTTGAAGTATATATTTTGAATTATATTGTTTTAAGAAAATTTTAAAAATTGAAGAAGCATATTAAAAGTATTTACTGATTATTTTTTATCTTTAATTCAAATAATACTTTTCTGTAAAAATTATAAATATAAAAAGATTTTTTTACAATTTCATTTTTCGTAATAATGGTAATTCAAAAATAAATATTAAATATTCATTTTTTTTTTTTTTTATACATAGGAATTTAAGTTTATGTATTATATAGTGTTTATATAATGAAATAAATTGTTGTTTATATACAATTTTTTTTTTTTTTTTTTCTTTTTAGTCTCTTAAATTACAAAAAAGATTAGCTGCTTCTGTTTTAAAATGTGGAAAAAATAGAATATGGATAGATCCCAATGAAATTAGCGAAATAGCATTAGCTAATTCAAGTAGAAAATTAAAAAAAAAAAAAAAAAAAAAATGATTATATGGAATAATTATTTTTATATAAAATATTTTATGAATACATTTAATTATTTAAAATAATAAATTTAAAATGAATATCATTTTTTGTTTTAGGATTTAGTATCAGAAAATTATATAAAGAAGGTTTAATCTTAAAAAAGCCACAGAAAGTTCACAGTAGAGCAAGAGTTAGATTATATAAATTGGCAAAAAGAAAAGGACGACATATGGGTATAGGTAAAAGAAGGGGAACAAAAAATGCAAGAACAAATCAAAAAACTTTATGGATAAAAAGACAACGTGTATTAAGAAGATTATTAAAAAGATTTAGAGATTCTAAGAAAATTGATAGGCATTTATATCATTCTTTCTATCTAAAATGTAAAGGTAATCAATTTAAAAATAAAAGAACATTAATTGAAGCTATACAAAGAGAAAAAGCGGAAACACTTAAAAAGAAAGCTATAGCAGACCAATTAGAAGCAAAAAGATTAAAAGCTCAAGTTTTGAGAAATAGAAGAAAATTAAAAAAAGATAAGGAAACTTTAGTTTAAATTTTTAATTTTGTAAAAATTGCATAAAATTATTTAATATATATATATATATATATATATATATATATATGTATATTGTGTTTTTAGTTTAAATAAATTTGAACTTTTTGAAATGTGAAAATATTCATGGTGAAAAAATTTAAAAATGTGCAAATATTATTTATATATGTTTATATATTATTTCTTATATGTATATAATGTATTAATTTAGGAAAAAAAAAAAAAAATAAATTAAATTTCCTTTATTTAAACTGAAAAAATTAAATATCCAAAATAATACCTTTTATTAAACTATGTATTTTTGAAAAAATAAAATATAGTATTAAATTAATATCTTTTATAATTTACCTGAATATGAAAAGAAATCAAAACTATATATAATGAACTAAAATATATTCCATATATAAAAATATAATAAAAAATAATAAAATGAAATTATAATTTTTTATGAAAATGATAGATCCTTTTTATGTGGTTTTCTTCATTTTTATTTTTAATATATTTAAAAATTTGAAAAAAAAAAAAAAAAAAAAATTAAAAAAAAACAAACAAAATAAAATAAAATACAATAATTGGTAACTCTTTTTATAATAATTATTTATTTATAATATACACACAAAAAAAAAAAAAAAAAAAAATAAATAAAAAATAAATAAAATAAAGTCTATAGGAATTATTATAAAAAATATTATTTTTTTTAAAGTATTTTGAATAATAAAAAAAAATATACATATTAAAAAAAAAAGCAAATGAGTAAATTAAAATAAGAAAAAATAAAAAAGCTAATAAATATTTTAATGTAAAATATCATAATTATATCAAATTTTTCTTATATTGCATTAGCATATTTTCAGACAGTAATTTTTTTATTTCATTTAAAACCATATTGTTTTTTCTTTTATATTCTTTCCTTTCATTTTGTAATGTAGTAAATTCGTTTGCATAATTTAATTGATGTAATTTTCTTTTTTTGTTTATATTTTCTATATCTTCTTTTAAAGATTTTATATTATTCTGTAAATTTATGTCTATATGACTAAATATTTTCATGTGTTCGCTCCACATCACCTCTCTATATTTATTCATTAATTCAATATTTATTAAAGCATTGTGTGAATTTTCTAAAATAATTTCATATTTTTTTAATGTATTTTTCCATTCATTAATACTCATATCATTTAATGTATGACTAATATTATAATGATCAAAATTAATTTTCTCCATTTTCTTATTTTCTTCACATCTTTTTAATTCATTATGTATAATTGAATTTTCATTATTAAAATGCATTATTGAAGGAATCTGATAATCTTCTAAATAGTTTTTTACTTCATTTTTCTCATTCATTAATTTCATTTCTTCTTCTACCATCTTTTTTGCCACTTGTTCAAATTCATTATCATAAGAATCAATATAAGGAAGAGCATTAACTAGGTGATGCAAATCATTTAATTCGTATAACTTTCTTTTTTTCTCTTTATTATATTTATCATTTACTTGGTTTAAACTATTTTCACATTTTTCTTCATCACTAACCCTTTTTTCTATCTCCATTATAAAATAGGGATTTCAAAAAAAAAATTTACTAATTTATTTTGTATAATATTTGCAATTTGCTTTTAATTTTTCATGTAATTATTTTTTTAAAAAGCAATTGCAATGATTAACTAAATAAAAGAAATACATAATTTAATTTTATGAAAATTTTAATCATATTACAGCTTTAATTATTCTCATTTAATGAGTACATTATTTTTTTAAAAATAGTAATATTCATTATACTTTTAACCGTAAACTTTAAATGTTTATTTATGATTTACAAAAAATTAATGAAAAAAACTTTAATAATAAAATTATTTTAAAAAAAAAATTTTTTTTTTTTTTTTTTTTACATATATTTTTTAAATTATACTTCATAAAAAAAGTTTTTCTTTTATTAAATATATTTATGAAACAATGACAATTTTTTATATCTTAAATATTTTATATAAATTTTTAGTGCAATTTAATAAGTTCTTGTAAAATTACAAAATTCACAAAGATATAAAGAAAAAAGATGTTAAATCATTTAATAAAATAAATATTATCTATTTCTGTTAAAGTATTAAAATACTTTCAGTTAAATTTAAAAAGATTTTTTTCATATAGGTTTAAAATTTTAAGATGATAAATATACAAGAAATTTTTAAGAAGCCTTTAATTATTTTTCCTATAATTACAAAAAAAAAAAAAAATTTCATTCAGAATTCTAAAAATATAATTAATGGAATATTAATGTGAACAAGTATACTATTCACATAATAAAAAAAAATTAATTTTATCTATAATTTTGTACAATTTTCATTAAAAAAAAAATTATATTCTATAAAGATAAGAATTATACACAATTTAAAATATACACTTAAACATTTTTAACCATTACTAATTATGTAGGATAAAAATATTTATTTTTTTTTTTTAATACTTTTAACAAAAAAAAAGGTATCGTAAAAAAATCGAAAAAAAAAGAAAAAAAAATACACATTTCTTCAATCTTTTAATGATAGCATGTTAAAGTAAAAACAGTAAATACTTTTTATAGTATTCATACTATGATACAAGTTTTAAAGTATAAAAAAAAAAAAAAAAAAAAAAAAAAAAAAAAAAAAAAAAAAAAAAAAAAAAAAAAGGAAAAAAAAAAGAGCAAGAAAAATTTGATTAAGTATAAAATAAAAATTACAAAAATTCAATTTATATAGAAAATGAAAAAAAAAAAAAAGTAATAAAATTAATAAAATAGAATAAAAAAAAAAAATAGTTAATAGTAAGAACATAATTTTTAAACAGAAGATAACCCAACTATTTTTAATGAAAATTTAATGCATATATTTTAAAAAAAAAAATTCTAAAGTGTTTTAATACCATAATATAAAAACTAAAAAAAAAAAAAATCAATGTATCCCATGCACTTTAAAAATACCTTTTTTTTTATCTTATTTTTGTAGCTTGTTTTAAATAAAATATATCTATCTTAATAAAAAAATTTTGCCTTAAAAAAATAAAAAATAGAAAATATGTTTACTTGATTAATTTTTTTTTTTTTTATTTTCATCCACATATTTTTAAAAACGATGGATATTAAATTTTAGTAATTTAAATTATATTTATACAAATTATTTATATTAACTTATATAGAATATATATTTATTTATATATGTGTTATAAACTTTTGATATACGTTTATTTTTTATCCAATATTTTGATAAAAGTTTTTTATATGAATTTTTTCTAAAAATAAAAAGAAAAAAAAAAGTTAAATTTAGGAATATCTTATAGCTTGTGAATCTTTTTTTTAATATATATATATTATTTAAATATTATTGATAGAAAAAAATATAGTTTTTTTTTTTTTTCTTTTTGCAAGTGAGGTACCACGAGCACTTATCGTTGAAAAAAATTGTGATAATTTATAATAAAAATACAAAATTTTTCATATATATTTTAATATTTATTTTATTATGCTTTAATAATAATATATAAGTCTTTAAAAAAAAAAAAAAAAAAAATTTTAAGTTTTTGAGATTATTTTTTTTTTTTTATACGAGTGAGGATAAGTTTAATTTTTTTATATTTTTAACTTTATAGATTTATATAATTCTTAACAAAGAAAAAAAAATTTTTTCAATAAAATTTGTACATTTATTTTAAAGTTAGGATTTAATTTGATTTTATTTTTTATTTATAAAGAAATTCTATATATACATTTATTAAATTTCCGTACATTAGTTTTTGGTTTTTTTTTCATCTTTATAATTAACAAAATTAGAAATTCAGAAAAAAAGAAAATGAAAAATGAATACTATTGAAAAAACTGAAGCAGATAAAACTCAATTAAACCAGAAGAATGATGATTATAAAAGCGAAGATACATCATGTTTAAAAATAAATGTTTGTGAAGAAAATAATAAAGAATATTTATCAAGTATAGATGATGTAAAATTATGGAGGTTTAGTTGTGTGCGAGGTTTAGAAAATTACGTGATTGAATTAAAGAAAAAAGTAAATAAATTTTACTTGATATATACAGTTATAACACTAATTCATTTTTTAATATATGTAAATAGAGGAATAATTCCGGGATCATATGATTACATATCTGCATATTTAAAAGGAACACATGAAATATCAAATGTAGATGTACATATTGGATTCTTAACATCAGTTTTTGTCTTTGGTTTAAGTATAAGTTCTATTATAAGTGGTTCTTTAGGTTCTGCATATAGCATATTTAAAGTAACGGATATTTTTCTATTGCAGAATTCTCTTGCATTATTTCTTACTGGATTTTCTTTTATTATTGGATCATATTATACTTTAATGTTTAGTAGATTTTTTTGTGGATTTAGTGAATCTGCTTTTCTTACGATTATTCCACCTCTAATATATTCCTACTCAAAAAATAGAGCAGGGTCGTGGATAAGTGTTTTCATTACTATGTTTCCATTAGGAGGATGTTTTGGTTATTTACTTGCTGTAATTTTGCCATCTATTAATATAAGCATTGCACAATATTTTATCATTTCAAGTTTTGTATTTTTTATTTTTTTTGTTTGCTTTTACTTCTTTGACGAAAAACTACTAAAACAATACGAAGAAGAAAAAATTTTGAAAGAAAAGAAACAGGAAAACAAGGAAAACGATCTTGAAGAAGGAAATCAGCTGAAAGAAGAAAATAATTTGAAGGAAGATGAAAGTTCAAAAAACGTAAGAGAATTGGAAAATGATAAAAGAACAACTTTAAATAAAACGAATAATAACGATATAGAAACTGCCCATAAACCTTCTGAATTAAATGTAGAGAATAAAAAAAATAATGAAAAAAAGAAAAAGGAAATTGAAGAAAATAATAATAATAATAATACCAGTAATAATATTATTAATAATTGTGCTGATAGAAATAGCAACAACATTAATTATAATTATAGTGATGATAATAATAAAAATATTGATATCAATTCAGAATCAAAAAAAGAGCATAATATAAATACAGATAGCAAAGAAAAAATTAATTATTTTCAAAGGAATAATGAGAGAAAAAAGTATAGAAGCACAAATGAAAAAAAAAAAAGAGCAAAGAGCATAAGCAATAATAATAATACTTTATATTCAAATAATCTAAATTTAATAAAGTTAAAAAGTAGAAATTTTTATAAAAATAAAAATTTTAAAAATGAACATAGAATTTTAAAATTTTCTGAAAGCAAAAAGCTTTCAACTTCTAGTCTTAAAAATTTCACCAATTTAAAACATATATCATGTGTAAAAAGAGTTAATAGTAATGATAATTCAAAAAATAAAAACTCAACTGATTATTCTGATCATAAATCGTTTGATGATTCTTACAGATTACATGAAAAAAATCCAATGAGTTTATATAATGACGATGAATTGTATAATGTTGAAAAATCGATAAATGAATCAAATAATGTTTCTTTTAATTCAACAAAAAAAATTGATGTAAGTAATTCTTTTATAAGCAAGAATAAAATAGTTAAAGATGATTGTGATGAGAGAGAAATTTTAAATAATAATTACGTTGATAATAAATCAGATAATATGTACAATATGAATACCTATAGCAACGACAACGTATGTTTAATAAGTACTCAGGAATCATTTAATAAAAAAAAAAAGGAAAATTTTATAGATATAAATCTAAATGATAATTTAGAAAAATTGGATGAAGAAGTTAATGAAGAATTAAATTTAAGTATATTAGTTAAAGCAACTTTATTAAATCCATGTTTTTTATATTTAGTTACATCATTAACGGCACATATAGTTATTATTCAAAGTTATTTAGTATATGGACCAGCTATATTATATGCCCTTGATGTTTTTCCTACATATAAATTTGCAACAATAATTTGTAGTTTGAGTGCATGTGTATCCTCTATAATTGGCACGTGTTTGGGAGGATTTTTAATGGATTTGTATGATTTAAACATACAAAATATTGATAAAAATTATGAAGATATAAAGAATAACAAAAAGAGAATTAAATTATATAATAATGATATATTAGTTTATAAATATCTCCGAATCATCGGTTTACAGACATTTATCATTTTATTCATTGCATGTATATTTGTATTTATGTTTCCGTTTATTCAAAATTTATATATATTTACAGTTGCAATGGTATTTGGGTTAACCTTTTTATTTTCATCAATGGTATAATTTTTTTTGCATTTTATAATATAAATACTTATATAAAAGAGAAATTATATATATTCGAAAAATTTTATATATTTTTATATAAATAAAAACCAAATTATTATACATGCAATAATAATTATACACTAATAATTATTTTATTTTTATTTTTTTTTTTTTCTTTTTTTTTTTTTTTTATTAGCCTGGTCATAACATTGGAGTTATGGTGTGTGTACCTCAAAATATTAGACCCTTTTCAATGGGAATGTCATCATTTATATCACATATATTTGGGTTAATATAAAAATAAATATTATATAAAATATGAATATAAAATATTATATTTTATTTTTAAAAATGTTTAATACATAAGTTATATAAAATTTTTTTGTATTTCTTTTATATATATAGTGATATTCCATGGATAGTTATTATTGGAAGTATTAAGGGTACATTATCTCCGAATTGTATCGTTACAAGAGATGTAATATATATACATACATATATATATATATTTTTTATATGAAATTGTATATATGCAAAAAAAAAAAAAAAAAAAAAAAAAAAGAATATATATATAATTTAATTTTCATTATTTATTATTTAAAATATATTTAGGGAGAAATAAGTGATTTATGTCGTGAAGAGAGATGGGGATTAAAAATTACTTTATTAATTGTGTGTGTAAAATCTCTTATAATGGCATTAGGAAGCTTATTTCTTTACTTACATTCTAATAAGAAAATAAAAAAATTAAAAAATAGAAAAAACAAAAAATAATAAATTTATTGATTGATTTTATTAATTTATTATCTGACTTGTGAACTTAATTTTTTAAATATATTTTTTTTTTTTTTTTATTTTAAAAAATTTTGTTACATATGTACTGTTGTATATTGTAATTTTTATCGCATATATTGTGTGTTTTTTTAATATTTTGATTTTAATTACAATATTTTGTACTTTCCACGTTTTTTTAAAGAATTTTAAATTTTTATGTACTTTTATTTTTTTATTTTTTTCAATTTAATATTTTCATATATAAATTATATTAAGAGTTATTCCCGAAATTTTTTTGAAATTCGATTTTTTTATTTACACATATATATTTAAAAAAAAAAAAAAAATACATTTTTGAATTTTTGTGTAATTTTTTTTATATTTTTTTAGTTTTTTCAATATTAATTTTAAGATTTTTTATTTATATGCATAAATATAATTAATTCTCCTTTTTTGTGACGTAATAGTAATACATATTTTTTTTTATAAAAAATTTATTTTTATAAATTTTTACATTTTTAAAGTGAAGACTAAAAAATATAAATAAAAAACTACACAAAAATAAAAATCCTTATAATTATTTTTTTTCAAGACAGAAAAAAAAAAAAAAATACATATATATATGGAAGTTATAAGTTTTTTTTTCTTTTCTAAATAAACTTACAACTTTTAAAAAAATTAACGGAATTTTGAGAAAAAAATACCATCTTGGTACTATAACGACAATAATTTTATTATTTTACGTTTTTAAAATTAATGGTTGATTATATATTTTAAAAATTGAAATATTCTTATAAATCTATAAAAAAGTATTTTGTTTTGAGAAATATTTTAAATCCTAATTTCTTAAAAATGCAATTAAAATATACATTTTCATGCATAAATAAAATAAAAATAACTTGATGAATAAAATTTTTATAAATATCAAAGTACATCTAAATTAAAAAAAAAAAATAAAAAATAATATTCATTTCTACTTAAAATATTAATGTAAATAAAAAAAAAAAAAAAAAAAAATGATATAAAATAAAATAAAACTATATTATTTAAAATGCTGAAGGAAAATGTAATTATATAAAATATTAATTTGAAAAATAAAATAAATATTATAAAAAATGTTTTCTAATGCAATTAAATTAGAAAATTTAAATGATTATTATAATGATAGTGAAGAATGTATAAAACCATTTTTATATAATTCTGATATAGTTAATGAAAATAAACTAGAAAGGCCTAATTTAATTAATATAAATAAAAAAAATAAAAAAAATAAAAATGATAGAGGTGAAATATCATTAACAGACTGTTTAGCATGTAGTGGTTGTGTTACAAATGAAGAAACAAATTTTTTAAAAAGCCAAAACTCACTTGAAATTTTGAATAATTTGAAGAAAAAGAAGATTAACATAATTTCATTATCTTTGCAGAGTTTAACAGCTTTATCAGTATATTATAATTTACCTTTATCTACAACACAAAATAAATTATGCTTTTTTTTAAAATCGCTAAATTTTAATTATGTATATGACTCTTCATTGAGTGAATTGATAGCATTAAATGAATCAAAAAATGAATTTATCAATTTTTTTTATAGAAATAACCCAGAATTACATAAAGAAATTGATAGTACATTAAATGATATGTTTGAAAATGACAAAAATAAAAAACCGATTAACGAATTTAAATATATGCAAAGTAAGTTGAAGGAAAAATTAAAAAAAAATAATGACAAATTTTACGAAAAGCAGTACTTAAATAAGAAATATAGCAATTATGACAATAAGAATGCTAAAGAAAAACAATATTACAATAGTAGAAATTATAGTAACAATAGTAATACAATAATGAATGATAATAAATACAGAATTGATCATATAAAAGATGAAATTAAAGACTCCAATTTATATCCCTTAATTTGCTCTCATTGTAGTGGTAGCGTTATATATGGAGAAAAGAATTTTGATGAAGAACTATTAAATTCATTCAGTAAGATAAAAAGTAGTCAAGATATTCAAGGAATTATTGTGAAAATTCTACATTTGCAAAAAGGTTTATACTGTGTTCCTTTAATAAATAATTACTTTTTTGACAGTTTTTTTAAATCATACAATTATAACTTAAAATTTATAAATATTTTCAGAAAACATTTTTTAAAAGATAATAATATTTTTAAAACAAATATAGATAATAATAATTTTATAAATAATGATAACAATAAATTATCCAAAGATCCTTCTCTAAGTATTTATGATATTAATCATGTTTATTTATTATACTGTTTTGACAAAAAATTAGAAGCTCATAGAAATAACATAGAACAACAAAAAGAGATAGAAAAAAACATAGAAAGATACTTATCTCATTTTATTCCCAATATAAATAGTTCAAAAAACAATGAAAATTACATGAACATAAATTCAAAAAATAAATTTTATTGTGTAGATGCAGTTCTAACAACAGTAGAATTAATAGAATTAATAAAAAGTATGAATATAGATTTCTATACACTACCTGAATTATCAATTGATAATATTTACAGTATTTTAAAAGAAACGAACGATAAAATAAAAAAAAAAAATATAAATGAAATAAATAGTGAAAGTAATATAGAAAAAAATAACAATGAAAATAAAAATATATTCATAAATGTAAAATTACAAAAAGAAAAAGAGGAAAAAAAGGTAAATGGTAATAATTTTTATAAGCATAAAAAAACAAATGAAAATATAACAGATTCAAAAGAAAAAAGTATTCAAGAAACATTAGAATATGAGATTTGCAATATGGAATACTTTACAGAAAAAAATACAGAACTTAAATTTATTTATGATCAAATTTCTAATTATTCTATTAGGTGTAGTAATAAAAATAATATTTCAATGGGATATGGAGAAGAGATATTTAAGTTTGTGTGTAAAGAAGTTTTCAATTTTAACATTGATGAAAATAATTTTAATTTGAAATATGATGATATAATTGTATTATCTCTTTTTAAAAACAACAAATGCGTATTTAGAGTTGTTCTCTCATATGGTTTTAAGAGCATGCATAAGGTTATAAGAAAATTAAAGGAAAACAAAAGTAAACAAGAAGTTTATGAAAATCAAATGAATAAAGATGATACATATCAAATTAAAATTATATATAATCTTAATTTTTCTGGTAGAATTGATTATGTTGAATTAATGGCTTGTGAAAAAGGTTGTCTGTTCGGATGTGCACAGAATATTTTTGTTGAGAATCCTCAAAATTTTTCTAGTTGTTCATGTCACAATTTCAATATTTTTAAGAAAATAAATAATGAACAAATTATTGAAAATTTTGATTTTCTTTTTTCAGATAATTATTCTACAAAAGAAGAAAACAATTTTATATGTTCTAGTGAAATACATAAAGAATCTTATTTTGATAAAAAAAAAAATAATGAGAAATATGATGAAAAAGAAAAAAATAAACAAGAAACATTATTTGAAAAAAATGATAAAGAAAAACTATTTAAAAATTTACATGAAACAATGCATAATAACAAATTTACTTTATATATAAACTCCGATAAATGCAAAAATGATTATAATGTTAATTTTTTTTTAAAAAATATTTTTTATATTTTTAATACAAACACCTTTCATTTATTTAAAGGTACTTTTTCTTCAAAGAAAAAATTAGATATAATAAATTGGTAAATAATTAAAATTTATTTTATAAACTATTTATTGTTATATCATTATTTCTGTTTGTTTTATTCAATTTTATGTTTACTTTATATATAATTTTTATTTTTAATTATTTGATTTGTTAATTTCCTAATTCCCTTTTATTATATTTTTAATTAACAACTTTTTGTTTAAAAGTTTATTTTATTTTGTGATGATTCTATCTATTTTTCTCATTTTTAGGTAATTTTTTTTTTATACTTTATGAAAACAAAAAAATGTATATATTCAAAATTAGTTTTAAAATAATTTAATTAAATTATGTTTTTTAAAATAAAAAAAGGATAACCTATAAATTATTATATGCTTTAAATTTTATGAAGAAAAATTTTAAAAACATTAAAAAACCTTTTTTTTTTTTTTTTTTTTTTTATATTTCCCTAGGACCTTGTAGTATATATAAATATTTACATATATTTTTTTTAGTTAAAAATATAATTTTAAAATAAAAAATTTTTATTGAAACAAAAAAAATTCGTATGTGTACACATAAGAACGAAAATATAAACAATTTTATTTTAATTTTACAAAATATATTATCCTACACATTAAAATAATCTATATAATTAAGTAATTTATAGGTTTATGAAATTTACATAATTCTTTTCTTAATAGAATAATAACATATAAGAATTAAAATTTTCAAACTTATTATTCTTTTACTTTTATTTTTCTTCTAACCATAACAAAATTTTTCTTATAAAATATAAAGGAAAGATGAGATATTTTTAAAAATTATTTTATTTGGATATAATCTTCCTCAAAGGATTCATAAATAATTTTAATTTTATAAAAATATATGTTAAAGGTTTTCTAAAATATGAAAAAGGTATTCTTGTTATAACTAATAACATTGTAATTAATATCTAATATAGTATATATATTTGTTACTATTTTTATATATATATTTTTTTTTCATATACATATTAAATTTATATAAAAAGGAAATTTCACATAAAAAAGCTCATTAAAACATATAAATTATATATCACAATATGATACTGAAAATTTTTTTAATATTTTTAAATTATCCTTTAAAATATTTTTATTTTGAGAGATAAAACTTTACTTTTATATACTATTTTATTATAGAAGATATTATATTCCTCTTTCTATTTTTTTTTTTTTTAATTACATCATATATTAATATAGAGTTTCAATTAAATAATTTTTCACTCATATAAAAAAGTATAAATTCCCTTGAAAAAAAAATTGAAAAATATAAAATAAATTTCTTCAATAAATTATAAAGTGAAATAAAGATGTATATAGTAACTCTTGAATATTTTAAAGAAGAAATACAAAATTTATATTTTAAAAATCACATATTAAAAATTTAAAAATTCATTATAAATATTATATTTCATCAACACTTCAAAAAACATTTTTAACAAAAGGTAGCTCACAATGTTTATACCAAATAAAAATACAAATATATAATTAGTAATATAATAAATTTTTAAAGGAAAGATATATATAATTCAATTCACAAATATATTTAAAACTATGATTAAAATAATATTTAATAAAAAAATATTATTCTTATATAATGATACATGAATGTATACTTATGAAAAAAGGAGGGAGAAAAAAAAAAAAAAAAAAAAAAAATAATTTCATATAATTAAAGTTTTACAATTAAATATTAGAAAAAAAAAAAGGAAATAAAAATATG